GTTACTCAAAGTGTGTGAAGCAGCATCAGCACAGCTGGGAGCTTGTTGGAAATGCAGGCCCTACCCCGCAGCCTCTGACCTACTGACTCAGAGTGTCAGTTTTAATAAGATCTCCAAGTGATTGCTGCCACACTAACGTTTGAGAGGCCCAGGAGTCCTATAGCTTCACCTACAGAGAGCAGCACCACGCACCAGGAGAGGGGCAGCACGTGGAAATTCCTCAGGTTTAACTGTAACAGATCTGCTTCTTCCATGGCCTGCTCTTTGGTGGCCCACATATTTACAGGTAGAGACTTGATTTATTTACTAGAGGCCTGGTGCATGAAATTCATGCATGGGGAGAGGTGGTCCCTCAGCCCAGCCTGTGCCCTCTCACAATCTGGGACTCTGCATGCACCAGTGACCATACTTTTCATACAGGTGAAAGGCATCTTGCTGTTGTATGGGAAGCTACATTTTTTTGCCCTGATTATAAAAAGTAGTACATAACATGATCCTTCTGAGGCAGTAGTACCATTTCCCCCATCTTATGGGTGGAAAAACTGAAGCAGAGGGAAGTTAAGTAATTGGCTTTGTCACACAGTTATAAGTGTCTGAATCAGGGCTGACTACAAAATGTGCAAGCCAGAGTCCATTCATGTCATCGCTGCATCATCCTGTTATTTTCAGTGTTAGAGTAGCTTTGCCAGGTTTTCGTTTTTAAATCTAAGAGACTGGTCCCAATATATAGGGTAGGGTCCCTAGGCCTGGCTGGCGATCAGGGCCCATCTGTGGGGCAGGGCGATTGGGCCCCCCCACCCCCACTGGGCACCCACCTTGGCTGGCAGCCTGGCGCCATCCGCTGGCCGGCTGGTCCCTGATCTCCGCCTCCAGTTGCCTCCCTCTTTCAGGGGTGGGGGTGGGGGGGTAGGAGGGGCAGATGCTCCTGCGTTGAGCGTCTGCCCTCTGGTGGTCAGTGCACATCAATAGCGACCGGTCCTTCCGCCAGTAGTTCTGCCATTCATTTGATTTGCATACTAGGGTTTTATTATATAGGATGTCTCTCTCCTCTTTCCAACTATGCTAGGCTGTGGCACTCTCATCCATTCAATAAAAACGTACAGAACTTCTCTTAAGCACTGAGGATAGTGAATAGGATGATATGGCTCCGGATCTCAAGGAGCTGACAGTTTAACAGGATATAGATACCAAACGAGTAGTTGCAAGTTTGACGAGTGTTAGAAAGACAAACAGGATTTCATGGGAAAAGAGCTGGAGATGGATAATCAGAGTAAGCGTTTCTGGAGAAAGTGTTGTTTAATCTTATGTGAAGGCACATGTAGGTGAGGTGTGGGTGACCCAGGAGATTGTTCCAAGCACAAAGAACACCACCCATGAACAGAGTTTTTTGGACATTTATGTTTGTATTTCCAGTGCCTTGCACTGTTCTTGGCATACAATAAGTGTTTGCTGAATCAATAAGTGTTCTGTCATGTTTCAAACGTCTGCTCTCTGGCGCTGGAGATGGTGGAAGCTTTATTTTTCTATTCAAAGGAAATAAGATCCCTTAAGGGGGAAATGAAAAGGAAGAGAGAAAGCTGACTGTTGTACAAATTGCTAAATTGGAACTGTGAGTGGGAATGAAAAATTGATTTACATGAATTTTCCTCCCTGAAGCAACTTGACAATTTATTCTGTTCTGGAGAATTTTCAGTTTTTAGCTTTCAAAACCAAGCTGTTTCTTATTCTAAATTTCTTGGCCTGCTGTGAAACTAGCATTTAGTGTCTTTTACAGCATACTCTGATTAGGTCATGGAAATTCACAGCTAGATCAAACCGGAAAACAGCTAGATCAAACACAGCTAAATCAAAATGGAAAATTTGGAACATTCACTGCCCATTTTACTTTGTGCATAGCGTTGGAAGGTGTTATAAGACATTGACTTTTAAATCATTTTTAAAAGAAATATTATCCAATGATCATAATTGCTGTCATTTATTGAACACTTACTATATGAATTACATAGCAAAATCCTTGTTAACTCTATAAGAGGCGAAGTTGAGGAAAATGAAAATTGCCAAATACTAGCAATTTTATATTGTTCAACTTAATATTATCTTCAGACTATCACCTTAGAAACTTATAAAGAGGTCAGAGAATCCCTGATAGCCGTAGCCTTACTGTAAAATTTAGTACTGAATTTTCTGTATAGCAAAGAGATTCTGAGAGAGTTATAGCTCCTTAATAACTCCCCCAACTCCTATTGCCCCAAGGGCTGTCTATTTCTAATATGGTTGTTTACACATTGTTCTGAGGTGGTTTACAATCCATTTCCCCTGCTAGATTGAATTCCTTGAGGGTAGAGGCTTTACCTGTCTTGTTCATTTTTTGTATCTTTGTGCCTAGAGTGTGTGAAAAGAATTTGTTACTTTGAAACCTTAACAAAATGTCAGTGGAAACTAAATAAATCCTTTAAAAAAAATTAAATCCTATTGATTTGTTACTGAACAATGCAAGGTAATCAGTCACTTCGTTGGGATTTTGCATTTTAGAGTCAGTCGGAGGAGTGCTGCCTTTGGCATTCTTGGACTCCTCGGAATTTATGTATGCCCAATGATGCAGGAATTGTCTCTCCACCCCACCCCACCCCAGAGAAAGGGCCAAAGGCGCTCTCTAACCTCCCTCACCGCCTTTTAATATTTACTTAAATGGTACCTTTTCTGCGCCTTCACCCTATTTAACAGAAGCCATTCTACCTTCTCTGCTCATATATTTTTTCCTATAGCACGTATCAACATGTAACGGAGTTATATTTTACTTATTTCTTTTGCATATTGTCTTCTCCATTCCACTAGGATGTAAGCTCATACATGATTTTTCACATAGGCACAGAATGAATGGACAAATGTTTTAATATTGAATTAAAGGGACAGGTATTTGGGGTTCTGTGTCACGATTTTATCTTCCGCTTCCACTTGATATAGTGACTTGGCCTGGCTTGGATCTTACTTGCCTATTCAAGAACCCACATGCCCATGGTCTCTGACCCACGGTCTGAATAATTACGGGATGCCCTACACTTGCCCCCACACGTGGCCTCACCGTCACTCCTCCTGATTCCCCTGCACCCTGCTCCCCGAGGACGATCCATCAAAGACTGTTTACCCTCTTTCTAAACTTTCTGAAAGGATGGGGTTTTCCGGCTTCAGGGCCTTGGGGATGGGGGTGGATGGGAAAGTCGAGCCTGACGAAGGGCGTGTCTATACATTTTAGGCCTCAGGCCTGCAGCCCACCCGGGAGGCGGTTGGGGAGCAGATGGCGGGGTCATCGCAGGGGCTTCATTGGGAAACTCCGCTGAGCAGCCAGGGGTTGGAGCTTTATATCCCTTCACCTCGCGGCCCCGCCCCTTCACCTCGAGGCCCCGCCCCTTCACCTCCAGCCCCCTCCTCTCTTTGGGAAGCCGGGGGCGGGGTTTGTTTACTCCGTGCACGCATCGCCGCCCCGGCCAATCCGTGAGGAGAAGCGCCTTACGTTACTCACCCCGCGGGCCAATCGGCGCTCACCGTGCTGCTCCGCCGCCAAAGCTCGCGCGGAGGAAGCGGGGCAGTGGCCGGGCCGGTGCGGGCGGACCTAGCAGCCAGCGATTTCTCCCGCGGCGGCGGCGGCTTCTGGGCTCGCGGGGCGCGCTCTGACCCTTCCTCTCCGGGCAGGCTCGGGGGCGCGCGCTGTCGGCGTCCTGGGACCTCGAACTCCAGGGCCTTGAGTGGACAGGCCGCGGAGCTCCCACCCCTGCCCCGAGTGTGAGTCCGCCGAGACCGGGCCGCCGCCAAGCGCCGGTGCCCCAGCCTCGGAAGAACAGCCAAGCGGGGTAAGGTGTGGGGCGAGGGCGCGGGCACCTATGCCGAGGGCCTCTAGCCCCGGCCCGGCGTGCTCCCGGGCAGGCTTCCCTCCCTGCGCCTCGGGGGGCCCCCTTGTTACCCCGAGTCCTAGCTGATAACCACGCATCCTTCCAGGCCTGGCCGGGTAACCTGTGAGTGTCTGGAGGAGAACACACACCCCCCCCTCCCCCCACACACACCCCACACACTGCAAACGCGGGGGAGGCCACGTCCCTGAGTCACGCCTCGTGGAGGACAGGAAGGGCCGCTTTCTGCGTTCTCTCTTTCAGGGGAGAAGGATGGCTCCCAAGTCTCGTTTTCTGACTTTTCCTCCTCTCATGACCCACACGCCTCCCTCTGTCTCTGCTGGGTGTTTTTCATTGTTCCAGAGGTTTGTGTTCTCAGGAGAACCTCATATCCCCCATAAAGGAACTTTTCTCTAAAGTCGAGGATCACTCTTTGGACCCAGACTCCTTTGGGAAATTCCAGAGAGCCATGGTCCCCGTCCACAGAAAACACGAAGGTTTTTGTAGGACCTTGCAGACAGTTAGTTCAGTTAATTGATGAGCGCTCAGACGCCGGTACCAGCTGTGTGGCCTTGCATTGCCTGGTCTCAGTTTCTCCACCTGTGAAGTGGTAGCCACTGCCTCTGCGGGGCGTTGCGGGGCTGCAGGGCGTTGTGAGGAGTCAAGGGGCTGGTCTGTGGATCGCATTTGGAACAAAGCTCACAGCATAGGAAGTGCCATGCGTGCGTGAGGCATTGCTGTTGTTCACGACCGCGAATGCAGGTTCAGAAACGTTCCCTGTCGGGTGTACCTTTTCCTGTTGAAACAGTTAACAGGCTCATCCCTTCCCATAGTCACTGCTGAAGCTCCCTTTAAGCCAGTGGTTCTCAACCTTCCTAATGCCGCGACCCTTTAATACAGTTCCTCATGTTGTGGTGACCCCCCAACCATAAAATTATTTTCGTTGCTACTTCATAACTGTAATTTTGCTACTGTTATGAATCGTAATGTAAATATCTGATATGCAGGATGTATTTAGGCGACCCCTGTGAAAGGGTCGTTCGACCCCCAAAGGGGTCGCGACCCACAGGTTGAGAACCGCTGCTTTAAGCCTTTGAATACTTTCCTCTTCCTCATTCTATCTCAGAGGGCTCAGACTCCCCATCCCATTTATTTGTTCTCTTTTTATTAAGTCAGTAGCTCATTCTCTTCCTTATCTCTTTTCCCCCAAACCCTAGTTTGTTGTTGTTTTTTTCTATTTGACTTCTACAGCCTAGTATTTTCTGGGCCACTTTTCTTTTCTCTTAATGGCTTGAAATCATCTTCTCTTCATAAATATAAGTTGAATTATTCAGCTGTTCTCTATTTAGTGTAATCATGACCTGTCTGTTCAAAATTAAATATAAAATAATATAGTCGATCTGATAGTACAAGTTGCTTTTCCATTTCATTGGTTGGCATATAATTTAGCTAAACCTTGCTCATTATCCTATTACTATAATAAATTTTTCATAGCAGTGTCCATTTTCAAGTAGGACCAAGGAGAAAAATCAGATGCCTAAAGCCTGGATTCCCTCATACTTGTGTGCTGGCTCTTGATGCATGTTGTTTGCTAGGACATCTTGTGCCTGTATCTGGAGTCTAGTCTAAGGGCAGACATGGTGTGTGTAGTGCTGTTCTGGCAGGAGAGTTGCAATTTCAGCAATGTGGCACTTAGGCTTGCTAATAAAGGCTCAAGACCTACTAAACTCGTAACTTTTTAGTTCTCTTTATTTCTAGTGGTCTAAGAGAGAAGGCGGATTTTTCAAGCATGTAACACTTTTATGACCATTTTCTGATCGTGTAACTTTCCCTCCAACCCTCATAAATGTGTAGCCCACTGGCACCTTCAAGTTTTTCCTTTGCTGCCAAAATTCTTCACTGTCTGAGCTATGTCCTCTCAATACAATTTAACATTGAATGTAGAAAGCATTTATGGATGAAGATTATACATTAAAACACACTTGATTCAAAGGTGCTTTTTATAATTAGGAATTGAAATGTGAACATACATTTGCTTTTTTTTTTTAACATGGCTTTGTTTTCTTGCTGTTGATAATACATGAGTTACTTTTATTTACATAGCACTTCACCATTTAAAAACCCTTTAAAGAAAAATAAATAAAAACCCTTTTAGGCCCAGCTGGCATGGCTTAGTGGTTGAGCATCGACTGATGAACCAAGAGATCACGGTTTGATTCAAGCCAAGGCACATGCTTGGGTTGCAGGCTCAATCCCAGTAGGGGGCGTGCAGGAAGCAGCCAACCAATGATTCTCTCTCATTATTGATGTTTTTTTCTCTTCCTCTCTGAAATCAATACAAATATATTGTAAAAAATAAAATTAAAAGCCCTTTTAAGTATATGAAAGTTTATAGAACAAGATAAGGAGATGGACTAATGCAAAATTAAATTCATGGTAAAGGTAGTGAATTAGAACCTAAGTGTTCTGACTTTTAGTCCATTGTTTGTTGGTCTGTCAGTCTTAACAGTTAGCCAGGAACAAAGGATGGAAAGGGAGAGTTTAAGAAGAAGTTTTAAAGCAGGGGAAGGAAATTTCTAATTTGGGCATTAAATATTAGATATTGAGTTGTACATTAGCATCTTATTTTTTATCTTTAAACTTAGGCATATATCTTTTAAAGGTTGAATAATAAGCCATGTTATCTATGAATTTTCTCACAGTTTATATTGTTGCTAGGCAAACTTGACGTTTTTTGACTGTCATATTTAAACTCTTATTGCAATATGGATCTCAGAAGAAATTAGAAGGCATAGAGTTGAGAGTTATTTTAGATCAGTGGTTCTCAACCTTGGCTGCACATTAGAATCACCTGGGAATCTTTTTAAAATCCTGATATCTGCGCCTCTTCCTCTGCAAACTCTATTTCTTTGCACTAATGTTCTGGACATAACATTAGTAGCAAAGAAACAGAATTTCCAGAGGATGAGGCCCAGAAATCAGGATTTTAAAAAGATTCCCAGGTGATTCTAATGTGCAGCCAAGGTTGAGAACCACTGTTTTAGATAATAGAATTTTTAAGTTGCAATGAAGTTTAAAGCTTATTTATTTATTTATTGAGAGGGAAACTAAGTTTTATTTAGGTAGAGAAAAAGAAACCAGGATTCAGGTTCCTGGAGACAGGATAGGTAAGCTTGGGAGTGACTGCCACTGCTCCCCTGGTTTCAAGTCTCACAGCTCATGGCTGTGAGGGAAGTGAAACATGTCCAAGTGGGCAGGAGTGAACTCGTGAGTTAGTTGCTAAAGATTATTAAATATACTTGCCTCTTTATCCTTGACCTTTTCGTTTTAATCTGGGTACGTGGCTCTAGAGGTGGTATGAGTAGATTTAAAAGCAGATTTTTGAACCCTTGGAAATTTTAAGCAAAATTATATGCATTTGCATATTTTTTTCTGGAGAGAAGATTCATAGTTTCATACTTTCTAAGGTGAAGGTTTTGGACAACTCTGACTTTTATAAAATTATTTCTTTTACTGAGCTAGAAGTTATATCTTCACTGGTTCTAGTATTCTCTTCTGAATGTGGATTTTCAAATATTTGAAGACTAGAGGCCTGGTGCACGAATTCATGCATGGGTGGGGTCCCTTTGGGTGGTCTGCAGGGATCGGGCTGAAACCCACAGTCCAACGCTGCCTGCAGCTCCTACCTGCTGCTCCCGCTCATCCCGGCCCCACTGCCGCAGCAGCACTTGCCAGCCATGAGCCCTGCGTCTGGCGCCTTCCTAAGGGGAGTGGCCTGCGGGATCAGGCTGAAACTGGCTCTCCGACATCCCCTGAGGGGTCCCAGATTTCGAGAGGGCTCAAGCCAGGCTGAGGGACCCCACCGGTGCACAATTGGGCCAGGGAGGGACCGAAAGAGGGCTCCAGGGTGTGTCCGGCCCATCTTGCTCAGTCCTGATCGGCCAGACCCCAGCAGCAAGCTAACCTACCGGTTGGAGCATCTGCCTCCTGGTGGTCAGTGCAAGTCATAGCGACTGAGCGACTGGTTGACTGTCTGCCCCCTGGTGGTCAGTGCACGTCATAGGGAGTGGTTGAGCAGCCTTAGCATATCATTAGCATATTACGCTTTGATTGGTTGTTCGGTTCTGCCATTCGATCTATTTGCATATTACCCTTTTATTATATAGGATACTTATATTCTACTGACTCTTCTCATTTCTAGACATAAGCTTCTCAGTCTTTAACTTCTAATGATTTTTTTGTTTTGATTTGAGCCTCCTCACAATGGCTTATTTATGGATTTATTTCAATTCATCCATATTCTTCTTAAAAGTGTGGTTCCCAAAATTAGATATTAACCAATAGAGACCATAAGTTACCTCCCTGATTTTAAACAAAATTTTTTTGGTTAATCCTCACCCAAGGATATTTTTCCATTGATTTTTAGAGAGAGTGGAAGAGAGAGGGAAAGACAGAGAGAAACATCGATGTGAGAGAAACATATTGATTGGTTGCCTCCTACCAGGGCCTGAGGAGCCTGCCACCAAGGTACGTGCCCTTGCCTGGAATTGAACCCGGGACCCTTTGGTCCATAGGGCGATGCTCTATCCACTGAGCCAAACCGGCTAGGGCCTCCCTGATTTTAAAGCATGCAGTTTAAGATTAAGAGTAGACTTGCTACTATGAATGAAAAAAGAAGTTATATGGAAAGTAACTTCACAGAATGATCTGATCATAAATTCCTGACTGGGCAGGTCGTGGTAGATAGTAATGCCCCAGACCTATAACTTCTTTAGTGAAAGGTTTTAAGCCACCCCTGTCTTGTTGTTGTGCATATAGGTTAACACACCTTTGAAATACCAGAAATAATTACCCTCGAAAGGGGTACTAACCCTCCAGGAATCACATAATCTATCCCATAATCCTATCCCTGCCTTGCCTTCTCCCACCTCTATGTAATTTTCCTTACATTTCCTCCTTAATTT